CCATTTTCTTATCTCCATAGCATCTAGCTCTCCTCACAACACTTCACTATGTGTGTTTGTGTTTTTTCTTGTTTTTATTTATTTTTTTAATTATCAGAAAGGTAATGTACAGAGTTTACAGTTACATAAATCGGGTAAAGAGTAAATTTCTTTTTGGATAATGTCATCCCTTTTCTCACTCTCTCCCAAGTTTTTCCCTCCCAGCCCCACGAGTTGTATAGTTTATTTTCAACAGTGTCTAGTGAGTACTACTACTGCATGTATTTACCCTTTGTCCCTCTGTTACTGTCTCCCCTTACAACTCCCAAAGACAGATAAATGAACAAGACAAAAAGAACAGAAAGTCAGGCGCCGGTGGCTCACACCTGTAATCCTAGCTACTTAGGAGGCTGAGATCTGAGGATCACGGTTCAAAGCCAACCTGGGCAGGAAAGTCTGTGAAACTCTTATCTCCAATAAACCACCAGAAAACCGGAAGTGGCGCTGTAGATCAAGTAGTAAAGCACTAGCCTTGAGCTGAAGAGCTGAGGGACAGCATTCAGGCCCAGAGTTCAAGCCCCATAACTGACCGGGGGGAAAAGAAAAAAAAAGAACAGAAAACAAAAACATCAACAAAGGGGAAAAAAAACCCTCTCATTTCCATTTCCTGGAGATCATTTTGATAAATACTATTTTGTATTATCAGATGTTTGTGTTTAAAAGGTTAATTAGAGTGTGAATGAACTTTATGATTACATAGAATGGTATTAATAACAACAGGTTTTGTAGCACAAAAATAGATCTGAGAGTTTTGTTTAGCTTTTTTTTATTTTATAGTGCTAAGGATTAAACTCTAGGTGCCTTGTCCATGCTAAGCTATAAACCCAGCCTACTGTTACTGTTGTTGGTTTTTATGCCTATTCTGAGGCCTGAGTTCAGGGCCTGGGCCTTGTCCTTTATCATTTTTTGCTCAAGGCTGGCACTCTACCATTTAAGCAACAGCTCTGCTTCCATCATTTTTCTGGTTTATTAGCGATGAGAGTCTCTTGGACTTTCTTGCCCAGTCTGGCTTTGAAGTAGGAGTCTCAGATCTCAGCCTCTTGAATAGCTAGGATTACAGGCATGAGCCACCAGGACCCAGGCACATACCAGTTTTAGAGATGACATAATCTAGTCTTAGGCTTAATATTCCCTTTAGAAACTAGGCCAGTAAAATTTTAATTTGTTTTTTGACAACCACCCTAGAGCTATACATCTAACACATTCTATGGTACAGAAGCCATTTAATGGGAAATATTGGACCATGATATTAAATCACATACAGTACCCTCAAATCTGTATTTTCCTTAAGTGGGAAAAAATGGACTGCCTTCACTTTAATGTTTCCATTTAATAGTTACATAACTTTATTTCAATCTTTAATTTTTGAAACTTTTTTCCTATACAAAATGATACTGGTATCAATACTATCATAAAATTATATCATTTTAAACTAGACTCTTTGGGATTTTTGAATCACAGCTCAGTTAGAAATATCTTCTACAGCCTGTGGTTGTGGTTCACACCTGTAATCCTAGCTACTCGAGAGGCTGAGATCTGAGGATCACGGTTCAAAGCCAGCCTGGGTAGCAAAGTCCATGAGACTCTAATCTCCAGTAAACCACCAGAAAAATGGAAGTGGCACTGTGGCTCAACTGGTAGAGTGCTAGCATTGAGCTGAAGAGTTGAGGGACAGCGCCCAGGCCCAGAGTTCAAGCCCCACCACTGACAAAAAAAAAAAATCTTCTACATGGAGATCTCACATATATACATATATAATCACAACCAAATTTACTATTAAGCTGGGCACCAGAGGCTTATGCCTATAATTATAGCTACTCAGGAGGCCGAGATCTGAGGATTACAGATTGAAGCCAGCCTGGACAGGCAAATCCAAGAGACTCTTATTTCCAATTAACTAGCAAAAAGCCAGAAGTAGAGTTGTGGCTCAAGTGATAGAGCCTTAAGCAGAAAAGGCTAATAAGCAAGAGCATATAGCCCGTGAGTTTAAGCCCTAATATTGCCATACATACACATTTAACACTTAAGGATTAAATTTTATGAGTGCTGATATTTTCGATTTAATTGAAAAGTAGTGACCTGTAGCTCATGTACAAAATGCTCTGTCATTGTAAAGAAAAACAAAACTTCAGTACTCCAGTAATAAAAGGGTATGGTACTTGGGTTATGTGCTGTTAATTCTATTTTCCAATTTCACTTGCAAACTGTTTGGTTATATAGTGTGGTTAAGTATGTGTATCTATTAATAATTATACAGGATTATGTCTTCATATTTTCAGTTCTAAGCCTTTTCTGTAGTCAGGAGGGCTAGTAATAACTTACAAATACTTAAGATTCCTCTAAATTTATATTCTCAGTAATGACATCAAGTGGTTTCTTATATTACAGGTTGTGGTTTTAGCCAGGTACAGGTGGCTTATATAAGCCTAGCTAGTCCAGATGCTGAGGTTTGAGAATCATGCTTTGAAGTCAGCCCAAGCAGAAAAGCACTCAAGACTTTAGTCTATTTAACCAGCAAAGTGCCAGACTAGAGGTTTGGCTTAAGTGGTAGAGTGCCAATAAAGGGATCCAGGCAGGAGCATGAGATTATGATTTTGAGGCAAGGTAAATCCCCAGAATTTGAATTCTTATTTTTAATTCTTATTTTTAAATTACTGTTTCTTTTAAAATAATTTTTCCTCTTCTTTTTCTATCACTTAAATAAGATTTAGTTAGTAAGATGTTGCATACTAAAAGACCTTGTTGTAATGCATTAAAAATTTCCAGACACTAAGTTTTCAGTTGATTTACTAAAGAAGTATTAAAGGGCTAAGGGAGTTAAATCCATTGTTTGCAATCTACAAGCTATCAGTTTAAATCTATTCTGCCTTTTCTATAGGCATGCTACAAGCTACACACTTTGCAGAAATTTCCATTAAGGTATCCAGGATTTCTTAATAACTAAGAAGTGATGTGTTTTTGTTCATATAAATTAGGTCTCAGTTATAAACATAGATGAAAATGTATACAACTCATATTCAGATCTAGTCCCAAATAAATTGACCAAAGTATGGTATACACAGGAGAGGAGTCTGATGGTTTAACTCCTTTGAACAACTAACTACACAGTTTAACAAAATGAACACCAGGAAGCTGAAAGGTATTGTGGGGAGCTAATAAGAGAGGGACAGACAAGTGTAGAGAAGAAGGGCAGGCACATATAGTCATGATATTCAATATACATATGTGAAAATGGACCACACAACTTGAAGGGAAGGGTAAGGTTAGCAAGATTGAGCAAGATGCATTATACATGTAAACTGACTTATTGTATTGAAAGTCTTTTGTATAATGACGTGAAGATTATTTTGAAAAATGTCTGAGCTTATTCCCTACTGATCTTTTTCCAGAGGTTCTGCTGTACTGGAGAATCCATTTTTCCTTCTTTCTTTCCTTTTTTTTCCCTTTGTCAATCATGGGGCTTGAACTCAGGGTCTGGGTGCTATCCCTGAGCTCTTTCGCTCCAGGCTAGCTCTCTACCACTTTGAGCCTTAGCTCCACTTCTGGTTTTCTGGTGGCTGATTGGAGATAAGTCTGAGACTTGGGCTGGGAAGGTGGCTCAGTGGTAGAGCGCTTGCCTTGAATGCATGAGGCCCTGGGTTCGATTCCTCAGCACCACATAAGCAAAAAGAAAAAAGCCGGAAGTGGCACTGTGGCTCAAGTGGTAGAGTGCTAGCCTTGAGCTGAAGAGCTGAGGGACAGCGCTCAGGCCGAGTTCAGGCCCCACGACCAGACCCAAAAAAAGAAGAAAAAAAAAAGAGTCTGAGACTTTCCTGCGCCAACTACCTTTGAACCACAATCCTTAGATCTTAGCCTCCTGAGTAGCCAGGATTATAGGCATAAGCCACCAGTGACTGGATCCTTTTTTTGTTTTTGATGGCCCTTACAGGGCTTGAATTCAGGGCCTGGGCACTGTCCCTGAGCTTTTTAACTCAAGGCTTACTCTTTACCACTTGAGCCACAGTTTCCTTTGTGGAAGTGCTTGCTCTCCAGTCACATTATCTTTGTCAATTTCATTTGTTTCTTTGTCAATTTCATTTTGTTAAAATGGAAGTTGTCTTCACACTAGAGCCTTCCAACTTCCTCTTTCCCAAGTTTAACCTCAATTCTAGAGTCATACATGCTTAGTTCAGAAATAGACATGGAAGAGCTCACGCATACAACTGCTTGTAGCGTGAAAGGTAGTGTATAATTTTGTAAATTTATAAATAGCTTTTTTAGTTTTTTTTCTCAGCAGTTAAATACCATTAAAATGTTCATGTTTTTCCTTTATATAAACTTCAGACCTTTCCAGCCTTGTAGGAAATTTTGTTTCTGTGTCATACAGTGGAAAGAATTATGTGATCTAATGCTCCAATAATCTATCAGAGGACTTTGGATATAAAAATGTTTTCTTAATGTGTTGCCCAGATGTCTGTGACCTTTGGAGATTGTTTCTCCCCCACTTTTAAGACTCCTAGATTGGCTAAATTGCACAATAGAAATTACTGAATAAGCTGGAAGAGAAAATAAACTCTCTCTTATTGGTAAACCATTATTACCATAATAGAAATACTTTATCGAAATTCATTTCCCAGGTGTCGTATATTCTAGTTGAGAAATAGTGTGTCAATTGAAATATACTGTTAAAGCTACAAGCAATATGACTTTTAAAAAACAGTAGAATCTGTGTAATACAAACCATGATGAACGTAAATTTAATGTTCCTTTGATTCAAGAAGTTATGGATGTGTAGACATACTAGCTAAAAACTATTCTCTGTAGTATTTTAGTATTTTGTAAGGTATATTTCTCCTAGTATTTAAGTATTTAGTCTGAATTATCGTAGATCCTTTCCATGGTACTCTAAATATAGTATTTGACAAGTTGATATGCTTGAGGAACCAAAATTCTGATTAATTCTGATCTGTTTTTTTCTGCAGTCATTACCCACATAATGGATTTTATCAATTGGATTTCTTTATTCTGGGTATCATGGTAACAATATAGAAAGAATCCTTAATTTCTCATTTCTGAAAGTTGTCATGATTACTGAAGAAAGAAACTTTTGTAAGCTACACAGCATTTATTGTGATACTTTTTTTTTGAATTGTGTTTTCATTTTTAACTTGATAACTTTTTGCTAAAGGTATGCAAAAACGAAGAGTTTACCTTGTTAGACAAATCCAGCTTCAGAAGAATGTCTCGAAGAGGATCAATTCTTCATACCCGGACCCACTGGCTTCTGTTGGGCCTTGCTTTGCTCTGCAGTTTGGTATTTATGTACCTCCTCCAGTGTGCACCCCAGACTGATGGAAATGCTCCTCTTCCGGGTTTTGTTGGGGACAATTATGGTAAAGAGTATTATCAAGCTCTTCTACAGGAGCAAGAGGAACATTACCAGACCAGGGCCACCAGCCTGAAACGCCAGATTGCCCAGCTAAAACAAGAATTACAAGAAATGAATGAGAAAATGAGATCATTGCAAGAGAAAAAGAATTCAGGAGCTAATGGTGTAGGCTATCAAGCCAGCAAAGACCAAGCACCTGGTGATCTTTTAGAGTTTCTTCATTCCCAGATTGACAAAGCTGAAGTTAGCATAGGAGCCAAACTACCCAGTGAGTATGGAGTCATACCCTTTGAAAGTTTTACCTTAATGAAAGTATTTCAGTTAGAAATGGGGCTCACTCGCCATCCTGAAGAAAAGCCAGTTAGAAAAGACAAACGAGATGAATTGGTAGAAGTTATTGAAGCTGGCTTGGAGGTCATTAATAATCCTGATGAAGATGATGAACAGGAAGATGAGGAAGGCCCCCTTGGAGAGAAACTGATGTTCAATGAAAATGACTTCATAGAAGGTAACCTGAAAACTATATTGGAAAACAGTTGTTACTATGACAGAGGCCTTGTATTATATGCTAGTATGTTAGACATTACCACAGTATTAAAACATGTAAGTTTTTACCCACTTCCACCAAGAATTTGAACCTGCTCATTTGGAAAAAAGTTACAATGAGTTCTGATTTAAAAAAAACAAGAATAAGGCTTAGAGAGACAGAATATATTTAAGCCTAAATAGAAGATTAGGGAGGTTAAAAGGCTCTTGTGGGCTGTGGGTATGTTTGCAGCTGGCTGATTTGCATTCCTTTCTTATCTAATCTTGATGGTTCCTTTTTTCTGTTTTTTTTTTTTTGATGTATGAACTAAAGATCAAACTTGATAAGTAAACCATTTAAAGAAAAAAATCTAATTTAGTAGACCAATAGTTATTTTCCATTTGGAGAAAGGCATGTATAGCTTTTCATTTGGACATTTAAAAAAGTAAGAAAAGAGCATATTTTCCCAATGTGGTTTGCAGAAAGCACTTTTTTTTTCTTTTTGGTGCCAATCCTGAGGCTTGAATTCCAGATAGGTGCTCTTCCTGACCTAGAACTACCACATAAGCTGTAGCTCTACTTCTGGCTTTTTAGTGGTTAATTGAAGATAAGAGTCTTATTGATTTTCCTGCCCAAGCTGGCTTTGAATTGTAATTCTCAGATCTCAGCCTCCTGAGTAACTAGGATTATAGGTTTGAGCCACTGACACCTAGCAGCACGTGGGATTTTTTAAGATTCTAGGTTGAGAAACACTACCATAAATTTAAGGTTTTTATTGATTGATTTTACTGATTAAACTGAAGTAATTATAGATTCCTACTCATCTCCCTCTTAACACCCTGAGATAGTTAATTGAAGGCTTAAAACTGTCTTGGATATAAATAGAGGGGGGAGTTACTGAGGTCTGAACTCAGGCTCATGCTTGCTAGTCAAGTGCTCTTATTTTGCTGAGCTATGTCTCCAGCTCTCTCTTTTTTTAAAAATCTGGTTATTATCTTTAAGTAGCTGTACAAAGGAGTTGTCATTCAACAAAGCAATTTATGAATATAGTACATCTTGAAAATGTCACCCCTTTCTCCATTCTCACCTTCCCTTCCCTAACTTTTTCCCTCATTTAAAAAAAATTTGTAGGCTATACATTGAATTTTTTAGTGCATTCTCCCTCCTTCTCTTCATTCATCTGCTGCCCTTCCCTTTCCCCTACCTAAGCCCTTTCAAATACCAGTTTCCTGGTGTTTATTTTGTTCAACTATCATTTTGCCTTTCTAAGGCATACCACCCAAGATATTTACTTATATATTTATGCTTTTTTTTTTTTGGTACTAGTCCTGGAGCTTGAACTTGAGGCCTGGGCACTGTCCCTGAGCTAGCATTCTACCACTTGAGTCATAGTTCCACTTCTGGCTTTTTTGGTGTTTAATTGAAGATAAGTATCTCATGGATTTTCCTGCCTGGAATGTCTTGGAACCTCAATCTACAGATTTTAGTCTCCTGAGTAGCTAGGATTACAGATGTGAGCCACCAGCACTGGGCTTACTTACATATTTGCAAACCACTTCTAGCTTTTACATGTGAGAGAAAACATGCAAGCAACCTCTCTCTCTGGACCTGACTTATTTCACTTAACATAATTTTTTTCCAAATCTTTCCATTTTTTTGCAAATGATGCAGTGTTCTTTGTAATGGATAAATAAAATTCCATTGTGTATATTTACCACATTTTCTTGATCTAGTCATCAACTGACGAGCATCTGGGCTATTTCTATACTTTAGCTATGGTAAATAGTGCTGCAATGAACACAGATATGCTGGTGGCTTTACTCTATCCTGGTTTGTAATCTTTGGATAAATGCCCAGGTGTAAACCATACTGCTTTCCAACATGGCTTAATAAGCTTACATTCCATCAACAGTGTATCAGGTTCCCTTTTGCCCACATACACACCAGCATCTCTTATTGCTTGTATTCTTGATGATAGCCATTCTATGAAAGGTGTTGTTTTGATTTGTATTTCCTTTGTGGCCAGAGATGTTTTTGTGGCCAGAGATGTTAAGCATGTCTTTATGTGTCGATTGGCCAGTTTTACTTCTGAGAAGTCTCTGTTTTTAATTTATTAGCCCATTTATTAATTGGGTTGTTGATTCCTTGAGGGTTTAGTTTTTTAAGCTCTCTATATTCTGGATATTAGGCCATTGTCTGTGTATAGCTGGCAGAAATCACCTATTCTGTAGGCTAGCTTTGTAGCTTGTTGCTAGATCCTTTGCCATACAGAAATTTTTTAGTTGGATGCAGTCCTACTTATCAAGTCTTCCTTTGATTTGTTGTACTTCTGGATTTTTATTCAGAAAGTTTCTGCCTATGCCAAGGAGTCCTAATGTTTCTCCTACTCCTTCCTGTAATAGTTTCACGGATTCAGGTCTTATATTGACATCCATTTTGAATTTATACTGGTGCAAGGTGATAGGTAGTGATCCAGTTTTCTGCATGTGGATAACCAGTTTTCTCAGCACTATTTGTTGAAGAGGCTCTTTCTTTCAGCCTCTGGTTTTGGCTCCCTTATCAAATATTAGATGGCTATAGGTCTTTGGGTGTTTCTGGGTCTTCTATTTTGTTCCATTGCCCTCAGGCAGGCCTGAGCTATACTAATGAAAACAGCTTGGTACTAATACAAAATCCAGCCCTTTTTTGCACAGATTATTTTTTCCTGTATGTACCAGTATTGGAGCATCACATTCTTGCCAAATTGTTTGCTCATAGCTGGTGCTGTACCACTTTAGCAAGCCTCTAGTCAGGCATTTTGCTAGTTATTTGGAGATGAAGAAGACTTAAGGAGTTTTCTGCCCTGGATGGTTTAAAACCTTGACCCTCTGATCTCAGCCTCCTGAATAACTAGACTTAACAAGTATTAACCAGTCTTGTACTGGTTATTATTTTTTTAATTAAATTATTATTTTTAAGTAGTTGTATAAAGGAGTTGCCATCAACAAAGCAGTTTATGTATGCAATATATCTTGATCAATGTCACTTCTTTCAAAATTCTTACCCATCCCTCCCCTACCTACCCTTTCCCTTACTCTTCTTAATTTTGCATTCTTGTCTGCCTTTCCCCGCTCTTTTCCTCTTCATTTGTCTACTCCTTTACCCCACCCCACCCCTTTGGAGTACCCACTTTGGTATGTTATTTTGCTGAACTTTGATTTTGGCCTTCTAAGGAATTACACTATTTGAGATCTCCCTTAACTCTACCATATTTCAGTTAATACATTTGTATACACTTGCATACCACCCAGTGTATTTACTTAAGAGTTTGTAAGCTAAATCTAGCTTCCACATATAAGGGACAACATGGATCCTTTGTCTGTCTGGACCTGAAATAGAGTTTTACTTCCTGCCTGACAATGCACCTGCACCTCAATTAACCTACTTTAGGCCTCCTGTCTTAGCCAAAATAACAGACATGCACCATCAGGCCCAGCACTCGGTTGAGAAGGACTCTTGTGAACTCTTCTGCCCAGGCTGGCCTCAAACAGCAGTCCTCCCAATCTCAGCCTCCCAAGTAGCTTGATTTACAGTTGTTAGCCTGTCTGTGCATAAATATTTCCTAAAAGTTCTTTTTTTGAGCTAGGTGTCATGCATATAATCCTAGTTACTCAGGAGACTGAGATCTGAGGATTCTAGTTCAAAGCCATCCAGGGCAGGAAAGTCCATGAAACCCTTTTATCTCCAATTAACTACTAAAAATCCAGAAGTGGGGCTGGGCTCAAGCTCAGGAACAGTGCTTAGGCCTTGAGTTCAAGCCCCAGGATCAGCGCGCGCGCACACACACACACACACACGTTATTTTTTATTAACAGTTTACCACATCCAGTGTTTTGTTTTAGTCCAAGTCATGACTCCCAAAGCAGGACAGGTGCTTTGTTAGCGCATTTTAGCCAACCTCTCCCTGTGACTTCCTCTTTTTTCTTCTGGCACTTTTCCTGCCATTTTTGATGGATTCTTTCAAAACTCTTGTAATTTTCCTCAGCGGTTTTTTTGTCTTCTCACCTTAGGTTGATGGCTTAGGGAAGAATTGAAAATGGCAAAGGAAATAAGATATAAGTAATATGTGAAATGTTCTAACATCTACTCTGTCTAAAATGAAAGGAAGCTATAATAACTTTATATTTGGTAGCTTGGAACTAACTCTTTTCTTCTCCACTGTGCCGTTGACCTTTCTCCTAAAATAATTATTAGCTAACTTATGTTCCTCTTCCAAACCTGAGCTCATATGTTGCTTCTTCCAGGAAGTAATCTTCAACCTCACTTCTAGATAGACTATAAACCTGAGGAATATTGGGACAAATCTCTCTTATATACTAATTTATTCTCATATTTTGACTAACACTTGTATAAGTCTTACCTTCTTTCTCCTGAGTGTGACACTGTTTAGCAGATGACTGATATCTAGCAGATGGCTCATGCTTGTAATCCTAGCTACACTAAAAGCTGAGATCTGAGGATCATCATTTGAAGCCAGCCCAAGCGGGGAAGTCTTCAGCAGATTCATATCTCTAATTAACCACACTCTCCTATCCCCCCACTCCCTAGCCCCACCCCCAAAAAGCTGAAAGTGGAGCTATAGCTTAAGTGGTAGAGTGTCAACTTTGAGTCAGAACAGTAAGGGACAGTGCCCAGGCCAAGTTCAAGCTCCAATACTGGCACACACACAAAAAAAGTACTCATTTTTCTTTGTCTGACTTCACTTTATTCAATATACTGTCTGCTTATATTTCTGTCTTCCTCACTGAACTGGCCCTTCCTCACAGCTGAGACCATAGTTATCACCAGTAATTGATATGAAGAGAATTGGTTCATTTTTTTTAGTTGAACCAAGCAATAGAAATTTTGACGTTTGTCATGTGGTTACTGTAGTGATTGACTTTAAAAAGCTATTTTACTGTATGTGGGTTATTTTATGGTCTGATTAATAAAGCAAAGCAATAAGCTTCTTTTAAAAAAACTAAAGAAATAGTTGTTGTTATTGACTGTTCAGTATGGAAAAACTATTTTCACAAATAGATTTTAAAAAAAAAACCTCTATAGTTCTAGTTTGATCTTTGACTGTAAAGCCTGTATTCCTATATAATGTGTAAACTTTGACATGAATATGTCTTTGTTCCAAACTCCTTCAGGTTATTATCGCACAGAAAAAGATAAGGGCACACAATATGAGCTTTTTTTTAAGAAAGCAGACCTTATGGAATATAGACATGTGACCCTCTTCCGCCCTTTTGGACCTCTTATGAAAGTGAAGAGTGAAATGATTGACATTGCTAGATCAATCATTAACATCATTGTACCTCTTGCTGGAAGAACTGAAGCATTTGCACAGTTTATGCAGAATTTCAGGTAACTGGTGGGGCTTCTGAATTTGGCTAAGTTCTTTTAAAAAAGAAACAAATAATATTTTGTGCAGATTAGTTTAATTCACTTCACTGCATATAATTGCTTAGAATTCTAGAATAATTTCATAGGCTTTAGGAGAATTTTACGTTCTGGCCTTCACAGATGTAGTATATTGTGTTTCTTGATGGTTGGAGTTATGAAATATATTGAGGTTGACAACTATTAGAAGCTAATTTAGGTGAGTTGTGGAAGTGTGTGAATTCATTTTAGAACAAGTTATTAAAAAATCAGTTGTACAGCCAGGCACCCATGGCTCATGCCTGAGTTTAAGCCCTAGGACCAGAATAAAAAAAAATCTGAATTAAGCATATTAAATCCGTTTATTAAGGACAATATTTGTGTGTGTGTTTGTGTATGTGTGCTGGCAGTAGGGCTTGAACTCAGGGACTTGACACTGTTACTTAGCTTTTTCATTCAAGGCCGGTGTCACTTGAGCCACACTTCTACTTTGAGCTTTTTGATGGTTAATTGGAGATAAGAATCCTATGAACTTTCCTGACTGGGCTGGCTTTAAACCTCCTTACTCAGAAATCAGCCTCCCTTACTAGCTAGGATTACAGGCATGAGCCAATAGTATCCAACTATTTTAAGGATAACTCAAAGGACATTTTAAGAATAATTGATATTTTCATGACTTTTGACAGATATATTCCCAAACCACAACACCAGTCAAAATATAGAACATTGTTATCTCCCAAGACAATCCCATAAGGACAATTTGAGTTTTTAAGGTTAAAATAGCCTCAAAACTTAAAAAAAAATTCATCTAAAAGTGGGAGAAAATTATTCCAGTTTAAGAAGCAGAATACTTATGTTTTTCTCTTTCTGGCCATTAAATTTGGATATTTCAGCTGGGCACTGGTAAATCACACCTGTAATTGTGGCTACTCAGGAGGTTGAGATCTGAGAATCCCATTTGAAGCTAACCCAGGCCGTAAAGTCCAGGAGACTCCTATCTCCAATTACCCATCAAAGTGTCATTCAAGTAGTAGACTGCCAGCCTTGGGCAACAAAGCTAAGGGACAGTGCCCAGGTCCTGGGTGCAAACCCCAGTACACATACACATACACACAAATCAGATATTTCAAAACATGGAGTCTTAAAAACTTAAATTTTGTTTATTAGAGTAACTACTTAAGAAAAATGAAGGAACAAGTGAGAAACTACTATATCTATCTATCTATCTATCTATCTATCTATCTATCTATCTATCTACCAGTGAGGACTGGTATTTTTTTGTTTTAAACTTACAATTGCTACATGTTTTAATTAACATACTAGTTTTAATGCTTTATAAGCCCAATCTTTAGTTTCATAAGATTAGTCAGCACCATTCTGAACAGAATATCTTTTTGTGTGTGTGCACCAGTGCTGGGGTTTGAACTCAGGGCCTTGGTTTTTGTACCTGAATTTATGTGTTCAAGGCTAGTGCTCCACAACTTGAGCCACAGCTCCACTTCGGGCTTTTTTGGTGGTTAATTTGGAGATGGGTATCGTGGATTATCCTGCCTGAGTTGGAACCACAATCCTCAGATCTCAGCCTCTTCAGTAGCTAGGATTACCTGATTAAATGAGCCACTGGCACCTGACTTGAACAAAATATCTTGAATCCATACTTCCAAATGAGTTTTACCTGTTTCAAATAACTTCTCTGGATATGAGCCCCTAAATCATACTTTTTTGCTTCTTATGGAATTGCTTTCAGAGCCTACATTATTCTTATGTGACTCATGGCAAATAGTAATTCATTGACAGCAGGTATAAGTTTGCAATTAGCCATATTGAAGATATAACTCTTTGATCCAAAGTTTCAATGTTTATTTCTTATCTGAAATGACCTCTTTGAGTAGCTTATAATGGGTTTCTGAAAGCAATATCAAAGCAGTTGTTCTAAGAATGTTTGGAAATGTGGCAGTAATGTTGGATTGTGTCCATACCTCTGAGAGGAGGCACTCCATGACATAGACTTAGCACCTTTCCTGGTGCGCTTTCAACGTCGTGCTTCTGTGTTAATACTTTGTGAGATTTCATTATGTGCCATTGTGCCTTGTTCATTTTCTTGTCAAAACTTCATGTGAGCCAGGTGCCAATAGCTCATGCCTGTATTCCTAGCTACTCAGGAGGCTGAGATCTGAGGGTTGCAGTGCAAACCCAGCCTGGGCAGGAAAGGCCGTGAAACTCTTTATCTCCACTAAACCACCAGAAAACTGGAAGTGGCACTGTGGCTCAAGTGGCAGAGTGTTAGCCTTGAGCTGAAGAGCTGAGGAACAGCGCTCAGGCCCAGAGTTCAAGCCCTATGACTGACAAAAACAAAACAAAAAACTTCATGTTATCAGTCAGGTGCTAGTGGCTCACTCCTGTATCTTAAGTACTCTGGAGCTGAGATCTGAGATCTGTTTGAAGCCAGCCCAAGTAGTAAAGTCCATGAGACTCTTTATCTCCAATTAACCACCAGAAAGCCAGAAGTAGAGCTGTTGCTCAAGTGGTAGAGTGCTTGCTTGCGTTGAGCAAAAAAAAAAAAGTCCTCAGGGATAGCCCCTAGGCCCTGAATTCAAGCCCCAGGACACACACACACACACACACACACACACACACACACACACGCATGTAATTACATTTTTGAACAAACTTTTATTTTTTAATTCCATTAGGGATGTTTGTATTCATCAGGACAAGAGGATTCATCTCACAGTGGTGTATTTTGGTAAAGAAGGACTGTCCCAAGTCAAGTCTATCCTAGAATCTGTCACAAGGTTGGTGAGTCATGTCCATAGGAAGTTCTTGATAAATAATAATATTACAAGAATGCGAACTTCACTTTAGGCACAAACCTGTAATCCAAGTACTTGGGAGGCCAAAGTGGGAGGATCACAAGTTCAAGACCAGCTTGGACTACATTGACCTTGTCTCACTCCCCACCCCAAAGAAAGAATGAGGATTTTAGATGTTTAGAGTTAATTTTTAATATTTGCTGTTTGAAAGTTGGCTGGTGGGTGGTGGTAGTGATAGTAAACCCTTGTGCCCTATGCCACTCTATCCCAGCTCATCTTCCTTAGCTGTGCTGTGGACAGCCTGGTGTGCTCTGGATCTTCTCCTTCAGCTTACCTGCTGTGTACTTGCAGATGTTTTCTCCTTTGCTAAGGTAACTTCCTGCCCTTTGATAAAATCTCCTGAGGTTATTTCTTACTGGTCACTTTGCTTTCCTTCTCTTTCTCAAATCCTTTTTTCTCCCTGTAGATGATGCTTAGGTCTCCCTCATCTTCCACCAGATTCTCCAGTAGCTACTATTTATGTTTCGGTCCTCTCTCACCCAGACCTCACAGTGCAGTGGTGTGGAGGCAGCCCACATCATCAAACCTGGTACCTAGTGGGGGCTCAGAGGTAAATGAATAGTAGCTACATAACACTTTTCACTCTTTAGCTTTCAGTTTCTTCCTCTGTAAATTGTGGGTCTACAGGTATGACTTAACTACCAAATTCAGCCTTTTTTCTGTCACCATCAATAGCTTTTAATAGCAATCTTAAATGTTCTCTTCTATCTGAGATCCTGACTCAAACTTGGTATCTGATGCTTATTGCTCGTTGGCAGGTGCCCTACCACCTGAGCCATGCCTTCAACCCCTCTTAAAATGTTCTTAGGTTTGTAAAATGTGAATATGTTCTAAATGTAAATATGTTACAAATTATTAGATCCAGTGTCTTCAATCATGTCAACTGGATCCTATGCTTGTTGTTACCTTTCTGCTTTTTATGTCCATTCCCAAAGAGTACAGATCTGACCAGCCATTCTTAACCATTCAACTAGCATTTGTTGAGGGCCACCTACTGTGTTCCTGGTACTCTGCCTGCAATTCACTGGCTGAGGTAGTTGGATGAAGACTAGGCATGGCTAAGTCTGCCCCTGTGCTACAGGGACCCTGACAACCTTGATGTGCATAATCAGGGCTCGCTACCTTTTACTGGTCCTCCTTCAGCTCAAGACCTAACATCTGAGAACCACAGTCTTCCATTCTTTACCTCTAATTCCCTCTGATGAGTTACTTCCTGATTATGTCCCAGAACCTCTTCCCTATCCCTTCCTTGCTACCCTTACCACATAACCTCAGTTTCCTCATCTTCCTTCTTCCCCTTGCCTACTCAGTACCAATCACTGAATTACTAAAGTTAGCACTGTGTTGTCAAACTCCTGGGTTGAGAGGTTTTACCTCGAGTTTTCCTGAGAAGTAGTATTTAAGAGTCTTGGATATAGCCCAGAAATTAAAACATTATTACAACCAAATTTGGGGAGGAAAAAAAATCAAATAGCTTTGAGTTATCAGGAACTAGAACAGGAGCCTTGAACACATCTGTTTTCTTTGAGGATTGGTTTGTACCATATTGTGAGGGATGTGGCTATTGGCAGCTGTGGGCTCACATCTTTGCCATCAGAGAAGAAAGAGCTTTCTATCAAAACAAAACAAAGAAGGAGAAGCAACCTTTTCCCCATCTTGAGCCAATCACTGTGGCCGGGTGGAGCTTTTATGATTGGTACCACTTGAGCCTGGTTGCCCCACCCCTAGGAAATTTCTGTGGTGTGAGGGACATTTTGGGATCCGTCCCTCTTCCACATGGTGCTGGTCATACAGGATAGTAAAGGGCCGTATTCCCCAAAGAAGAGAGAGCTTTCATAGGCCATGAGATGGGGAGTACATGGAGTTTCCTCTGGGCACTGTATGAGCCTTTGCTTCCATTTCTTCCCCTTTCTTATGCTGTATTGTTGTAAAAGCAATCTTCTGCATATATTCCTGTGTTCAGTCTGTGTATGCTCAAGGATATTTACCTGTATTGTCTGGGCACTGGAGCACTAATTAGAAAACATAGAGGCTCCACTCCACACTTGTCTGCATCAGTGAATCTGAAGGGAAGCTGAGAATTTGCATCCAACTCCTTGCCAGCAGGCTGTACTGCTATGGGTTTGGAGCCTTACTGTGACAAGCACTGTTCTGGCAGAAAAACTGGCTAGTTTCTCCTTGCCAAGTCTTTTTAACCTGGCATGGAAGGTGCTCCTCTTATTCTATCCTATTTAATGAGTCCTGTGATCTGATGTTCTTACTTTTCTCATTTAGGGCTCCTTTGTTCCTATCTGAGAGCTTTCCCTAAAATATTGTCCAGTGTTTTACATCTTTGCTTTGGAGAATAAATATTTGACATTTATACTCTTTTACCACTAGATTCAGGATTCTAATGAAGGTATATAACTGAGTTTCCACATCTGACATCTCTTCACTGCTCCAGACATAAGCAGTCTTTTTTCCGGGAACTTCTGTTCATTCATTCATTCAGCAGATTTTTTTATTGCGTTCCTACTTTGTGAGAGGTACTTTGTGATAGTAATGCACAGAACAAAATCCTTGGTCTCATGGAATGTGGAAGGCGATGCCCATACCTGAGGAGGAATCTAAAAGAGAGTCAGGTAGGGCTACTTGCAGTGTATGGGCAGGACCCATCTGACAAGGGAGTATTTAACAAAGACCTAGAGGAGGAGAGAGAAGAGTTCCCTGCATGTCCTTAGTCATGTGGAATGCATTATTAGTCCCCCACTTTATGGCTGTTTTTCCATGTGTATATGTCTCCTCTCCCCAGTGAGTTTTACGATCTCAAAGGGCAGTAGTCCCCTTGTAAATCTCACACCACCAGTATGCTGAGGCACTACCTCAATTTAGGGCAGCTAAGGACTAGCCTCTTGATGATATGGTACACGTGAAGTATAAGCCATTTTGTAATTCTGATGAAGGAAAAGCGTTAATTTTTAAGTGGGACTTACTGTTTGTTATATGTGCTTTCCTCATAGTGAGTCTAATTTTCACAATTACACCTTGGTCTCACTGAATGAAGAATTTAATCGTGGACGAGGACTAAATGTGGGTGCCCGAGCTTGGGACAAGGGAGAGGTCTTGATGTTTTTCTGTGATGTTGATATATATTTCTCAGCCGAATTCCTTAACAGCTGCCGCTTAAATTCTGAGCCAGGTGCGTAAAACATTGGTAGATGAGCTAGAGTATAGAGTGCAGAACAGTGCTGGCATAACCCATATGCTGAATCAAACTAATTTGAGAAAAAGTAAGTTTTAATTAAGTCCTAGAATATATTTTCTTAAGTTATATGAGGTACAATGTAACTGGAATGCTAAGTAGCAGTTTATCCCCTTTGCTTTCTTGGGGTCAGATTCCAATGGCTGAATTTGAAGTCAGATAAAGAAATGCAAAGGGCTTTGTGGCACAGCTCAATGATGGACATACTCGGTTCAGTCCTATCAAAGAAAATTTTAAAATGCAGAGGAATAGAAATTTGGAAAATGAGGGGCTGGGAAGGTGGCTCAGTGGTAGAGCGCTTACCTTGCATGCATGAGGCCCTGGGTTGGATTTCCCAGCACCACATAAGCAAAAAGAAAAAAGCCAGAAGTGGCACTGTGGCTCAAGTGGTAGAGCACTAGCCTTGAGCTGAAGAGCTGAGGGACAGCGCCCAGGCCAAGAGTTCAGGCCCCACGATTGGACCCAAAAAAAGAAAAAGAAATTTGGAAAATGACAAGAAGAAAGCAACTCCAGTTGGAAAAAGAGCCACACAGGTGGTATGAAGATGTAAGAACCAGAAGTACTCAGCCTCAGGCATATAGCAGCCCCACATCCATGTATGCAATTGCATGCATATGATGCACAAGTGCTGGGGTCTAGAGGCAGGTAGTGTTTGGATTCCAGAGTTCATTTTGAAGCGATTTACAATACTTTGCTTTATGTTGTAGATATATTTTGGAAATGAATGAGCAGATGAAAATTTTATAAATCAAATGTCTTTCAAATATAAAAAGAAGTCTTCTATATTAAAGAACTGCAACAGGAGAAAAAGTTCAGGGACTGTATTGTAAAGATGGTGACTTGTTTTAATCATTCACACAGAATATGCATCTATCAAAACCTCATGCTACATGCCACAATATGAACAATTTTGTCGTTTAAAAATAATTCTAAATTTTAAAAATAGTAAACTTTTTTGCATAGAAATCTTCATAGCATATAAATTTGTATTAATCATTTTGATTAGGGAAAGTTGACAAGAACCTTCTGAGTAAATGTGGGTTAGGTGTGTTTTACTCCATAGAACATGAAATTTAAAATGTAGGTGCTGAAAGAGACATTTGCTCAGGTAAAAAGGATGTATTTAATATCTAGAAATCAATTGTCCTGGAAGCTGAGCTGAGCTAATCCAGAGGTAGTATTTAGTCTCCAGATTATAATTGCATTTAGAAGTTATTACTACATTTTGGTTTATGTGGCAGATAAATGAGCTTTAAGAAAGGTCCATGAGCCTGCTAGGGATCCTGTATTAAAAGACAGCGTGTCACTCCAGGCTTCTCATCATGCTACCATTCTGAATGAAGCCAATCATACGTAGAGAGGGTTCCTTCATTGAGGGGTGATGGCCAGTTAGGCACTAAAGTCCCTTCAATGCACTTAGCTGAAGTGATTGCGCTATTATTCCACGTGTTTTTAACCCTAACCTTCTCAACTTTTCTAGATCTCATATCAGTCTTCAGTTCTATATTTTAATTGTTCCTTACATGTATATGCAATGTACAGTATTCTTTGGATTATCTGTTATTAATGATTGAGTTTGAAGTGTGGATTTAGCAGAAATTTCTAATTTCTTAGTGATGCTCAGAGGTTAGCCTCTATTTCTCATTGCTGATTAGGTAAAATAATGAATAATAACATATTCACCTAATGAATAGTAATACTTGTGTGTATCTGTCTCCTAAAAGTCAAAAAGAATAAAACAGGTGCACTCTTTAGTCTGGATTTTTTTCTATTTTGCAGTTAGAGCTTTATAGCATTGTTATATTCATCAAATCAACAGGATATTCTGAAGCTTGAATAAAGTCTCAATTCATATAATAATAATAATCAGTCTTTTATTTAATGGCTTCATTGTATAATAAGAACACATATTTTTATTTATAGGTAAAAAGGTGTTCTACCCTGTGGTGTTCAGTCTTTACAATCCTGCTATTGTTTATGCCAACCAGGACTCACCACCTCCCGTGGAACAGCAACTGGTGAGACACTGACTTTATTGGAAATGTTTTTCCTAGATTCCTTTATGTGTGTTGTACAAATAGAAAATAGAGTTTCAATTAAAAACCAGGCATCAGCAGCCATGCCTATAATCCTAGCTATCTAGAGGCTGATATATGAGGATCAGTGTTCAGAGCAAGCCCAGTCAGGTAAAGTTAGTTAAGTGTAGCTGTGGCTCAAGTGGTAGAATGCCAGCCTTGAGTAAAAAAACTAAAGGACAGAGCATAAGCTCTGAATTCAAGCCCTAGGACAAGCACAAAATAAAACCCAACTCTGTAGTCCAAGCCCTAGTAAAATGCTTTTACTTTATTCCTTCAGAATCTAGTCCAGTGGCAAGGGGAAAAAGTTGAGGACACAGAGGGAAAAGCTTATGTTCCAGAATGTGGAAATTATACAGTCCTTCTTGCCAACTTCCTTTCAGTAATATTTAAGATAAAGTTAATTAATCTAAAATGAAATGAATGTTTTAAAAAAGCCCCACTAACTAGAAATTAAAATCACTCTGCTAAGTAAGAGGGAACATTTACTAGAATTAAGAAATCAACATTGGTAAGTTACTGCTACTAGCACTTTTAAGAGAATTTTACCAGTTCTTTCTATTAATGTTCTTTTTGTGTTCTATTCTGATGGCATTTAGTGGTATCTAAACATTGAGAAAAAGTGAAAACAATAAACTAAGAAGTCAAAGGGAAAACTACAGGGAAAGAAAGAAAGATTGAGGCAGAAATTAGTGAAAGCTGAAATAGATAAGTGCTTAGTACTTACAAGCAAAGGTAATTCTTTAGAAAATGAATGACAAGAGTGTAACAGGACTTTAGGAGGTGGGAATCAGCAGGGAAGGGAGAAGTGAATCTGATCAAAATATAATGAAACCCACTAAAAATTGTTTAAAACAGGTATCATTGGCTCAAGCCTGTTCCGAACTACTCAAGAGGCTGAGATCTGAGGATCAAGGTTCTAAGCCAGCCTGGGCAGAAAAGTCTATGAGACTCTTATCTCCACTTAATCAGAAAAAAGCCAGAAATGGAGCTGTGGCTCAAGTGGTATAACACAGCCTTGAGCAAAAAAGCTCAGGGACAGCACCCAGACCCTGAGTTCAAGCTCCAGAACTGGCACAAAAACAAAGCAAAACACAAAGCCACCAAGTTATGAAAACTGACTAGATGTTTTGTGTGGTGTGTTCGGTGGAAAGGCCTTTCTGAGGTGGGACTGTGGGAGGATCCAGCTAGTAGCAGGAAGAAAGCAGATGGCTACAGATGGCCCAGCTGTGGATCTCCTGAGGTGGTTAGAGTGCAGCACAGGGTCTGGAGCTGAGCTGCAGGGCTTGGAGAGTCCCTGGGAAAGGAGCATTAGGAGGGAGAAAGAACTATGTAGCACCAGCAGGAGGCAGCTAGGAAGGCTATTGCAGCAGACAAGATACATGATTGTGGCTGGGCAAGGAAGGTCATTGTGGAGAAAGGTGTGGAGACAGAACTGAGCTTGTGGGATCAGATATCAGGACTGAGTGCAAGAACAGGGTGGAGAGAGGGTGATGGGCTTGTGCTATTAATTGACACCAAGGGAAGCTGTTTTTAGTTGGCAATATAATAGTCAAATATTACCAATGTGGGCTAGGGAGAAGTTTTCAAAAGCCATAAAGCTTAAGAACAAAACAAAACTAATGACTTCTTTTCCCTTAGTTTGATAACATTGGAAGAATTATTACTTATTTATTTGTGCTGATACTTGGGCTTGAACTTAGGACTTGGAGCACTGTACATCAGTTTTTGCAATCAAGGCTGGTGCTCTGCCACTTGAGCCATAACTCTACTCTGGCTTTTTGATCATTAATTGGAAATAATCTCAGGATTTTCCTGCCCAGACTGATAGTGAACCGAGATCCTCAGATCTGAGCTTCCTAAGTAGCTAATATTACAGGCATGAGCTACCAGCATCCGGCTTGAAGAATTTTCATAGAAACTATAAAGTACAAGGTCATAGTAGTTAATTTTATTCCTTCAAGGACATAGTATTTACAAAATCAGAATTGGTGTGGAGTAGAAATGTCAAATGGGTGTTTAGTTCTTTGCACCAGATTGTATTTTGACTAAAAAGAGAGTCAAATATTTATACCCTCATTTAGGCTCTAAATAAGTGGGGTGTTGGGACACATGCTTATAATCCTATCTCTTAGGAGGCAGAGCCATTGAGTTCAAAGCTAGCCTAGGCTAAATAGGAGTTTTATTCCAGATTTAGCTATTTGGTGACTTCAAAAGGGAGCCAGGTAATAGGGAAGTAACTCCATGGTAGAATACTTGTCTAGCGTTCATGAGGACTTGGTTCTATACCCAGTGCTGGGGAAAAAAGAGTCTTAGTTTGGGTTCTACTACTACATTTTGCTCCTGTAGATTCACCTACTTATTCATTCAACAACTATATATTGAAAGCCTATCATATGACTGGCATTGTTCTGGTTGCTAGGATATTATAGCAATCAGTGGTTAAGATCTCAAAAGTCCTGCAGTTGGGGAGCTTAACATTCTAGAATAGGAGGAAATGCTCCCCAATAAAAATATGGGAAAAGAGAATGCCTCTGTCATCAATCAACTCCAACCTGACAGAGCCCTCAAACCTACCTAGTCATTTGAATCTTTTCTCACATCCTGAATGGCAGCCTTCTATCCCTACTCTTTTCCAGCCTTGTCTCCTCTACAGACCCTAACATTCCTGCTCTCCACAGAAGTGTCCCTATTTTTATTTGTGTTTCTAGATTGCTTAGAAACCAGCTCCAAGTTGTTACATTCTGGGACAGCCCTTCCCTGAGTGGGACCTCAGAAACCAGCTCCACATTGTTTTGCTCTGGGCCAGCCTTTCCTCTGAGCCAGGTCTCAGAGAAGGGCACCCTCGGGGGGCCCTGGCTCAGGACAACAGCCTGCTGTCATTCTTGGTCACCCTTCTTCCCACTTCCTACCCCACCCTTTAAGGTACTTACTGACCTCTGTCTCTATCCTGACTATTTGTCTCATCTATCCATCTCTTTTTTTTCTGCATACACCCCAATAATCTACCAGCTTTCTATTCCTAGTTATAGCTATTATCTCTGGACCTTGCTCTTTCTAATATATTCTCTGTTCTCCATCCAGAGTAATTTTTCTAGAAACACCTCATTCTTGCAGCTCTTCAGAGAACTATGATGTCTGTCTGGAGAAAGCCCAAAACATATGACCTGGTTTACAGGTTTTTGGTGGCATACTTCTAGGCCAGGGGTGAAGAGTTACAGTTTCTAGTCCAGATCTACCCATCTACCTTGTTTTTATAGCCACAAGTTAAGAGCTATGCTTTTATCCATGCACTGGCGGCTCATGCCTGTAAACCGAGCTACACTGGAGGCTGAGATATGAGGATCACAGTTCCAAGTCAACCTGGGAAGGAAAGTCTGTGAAACTGTTAACCAGTTAACCAGTAGAAAGCAAGAAGTGGAGGTTTGGCTCAAGTAGAGAACTAGCCTTGAGGGGAAAAAAAAAAAAAAAGCTAAGGGACAGCACTCAGGCCCTGAGTTCAAACCCCAGCATCAGAAGTAAAAAAAAAAATGTGTATCTGTCACACATAAAACCTTTTCTATCTGCGCCTGGTATAGTGGCTCATGCCTATAATCCTAGCTACTCATGATTCAAAGCTAGCCCTGGCAGAAAAGTCTGTGAGACTCTTACCTTCAAGTGGAGGTATGGCTGAAATGGTAGAGTGCCAGTCTTGAGTGAAAAATCTAAGGGACAGGCCCTGAGTTCAAGCCTCAGTTACCCCCATCCCCAAACACAAATGTCCAGTCTGGCTCTTTACAAAAAAGTGTGCCAGTACATGGTGCGTGTAGAATTCAGATATAACTACCCAAAAACCCAAAGTGGAGCTGTGGCTCAAGTGGTTACTCTAGCCTTGAGTAAAAACACTCAGGGACAAGTGTCCAAGCTCTGAGTTAAGCCCCAGGACATGCACAAAAACAAAAAGAAAAACTCTAGCCATCAGGAGGAGGCAGAGAAATGAGTTCTCGGGCCTGTGAAGAGTCGACCTCATGCAGTAGGAAATATTTTTGTGCAGCTCTGGCCTAAAATGTGTGCCCCTGGGTCAGGTCCGTACTGTTTCCCTGTTAGTAACCTCAGCTCGTGCAGGCACAGGGCTTGAAGTCAGTGACACGTCAGCTGGTAAAAAATCTTGTTCTTCAATTTAACCAAATGAATACCAGGCAGCTGAAACATGGTTTGGGGTGGCATAGCTGAGAGATGAATGGTGAGAGAAAGGGCAGGCAAGTACCGTCATTGTAATTATATTTGAGGTGCTCTATGTAAAAGGTGAACTATATATCTTGAGGGTATGGATGAGAGATGGCGGAGAATGATGAAGGGGTGACAGTGATCAAGATGTATTATAGTCATAAATTGACTTGTGGAATTGAAACCTTTGTAAAACTACTTAAAATTCGTTTATGCAGATTACTATATTTTTGTTCTATAAGGATTTACTAGCATAGGTACACATGAGCTGTTCTAAAATAACTTTTTGATTAAAAGTTCTAGTTAATAATTAAATTGAATTTTTTTTCTTTATTTAAGGTTCACAAAAAGGATTCTGGTTTTTGGCGAGATTTTGGCTTTGGAATGACTTGTCAGTATCGATCGGATTTCCTGGCCATTGGTAAGTATACCTTATATTTAAGTAATAGGCTTTATTTACTTACTTTAGATCTTACCATATTTCCTAAAAGGTATCAGATTTGACTATTTTCTACTAAATTATAAATGCCTGGGATTAATTCTAGTACTTTAAAAGGCAAAATGAATTTATAATGAATTAGCAACAATGAAGTCACAAAGATATAAAGTATAACATGGTATTCACTAGTTTCTTTAAAAACAAAATACTTATTAATGTATTATTATTATTAGTGTTATTATTATTAACAGTTACCTTTAAGATACATTTGGCCTAGATGCTAGTGGCTCATGCCTTATAATTTTAGTTACCGAGGAAGCTGAGATCTTCAATTTTAGGATTGAAGTTCAAAGTCAGCTCAGGCAGGTAAGTCTTCGAGATTCTTTTTTTTTTGTCAGTTGTGGGGCTTGAACTGGGCCTGGGCACTGTCCCTCAGCTCTTCAGCTCAAGGCTGGCACTCTGCCACTTGAGCTACAGTGCCACTTCTGGTTTTCTGAGTGGTTTATTGGAGATAAGAGTCTCATGGATGGGAAGTGGCGCTGTGGCTCAAGTGGTAGAGTGCTAGCCTTGAGCTGAAGAGCTGAGGGACAGCGCCCAGGCCCAGAGTTCAAGTCCCACAACCGACCAGGAAAAAAAAAAAGTTGGGGCTGGGAAGGTGGCTCAGTGGTAGAGCGCTTACCTTGCATGCATGAGGCCCTTGGTTCAATTCCTCAGCACCACATAAGCAAAAAGAAAAAAGCCAGAAGTGGCGCTGTGGCTCAAGTGGTAGAGAGCTAGCTTTGAGCTGAAGAGCTGAGGGACAGCGTCCAGGCCCAGAGTTCAAGCCCCACGACCGGGCCCCCCCCCAAAAAAAAAAGTCTCATGGCTGTTCCTACCCAGCTGGCTTTGAACCTCGATCCTCAGATCTCAGCTTCCTGAGTAGCTAGGATTACAGGTGTGAGCTGCCACACCTGGCTTCTTTTGAGGGGGGGGGGGCGCGGGGGGTTGCTAGTCCTGGGGCTTGAATTCAGGGCCTGAGGCACTGTCCCTGAGCTTCTTTTGCTCAGGGCTAGCACTCTGCCACTTGAGCCACAGCACCACTTCTGGCTTTTTCTGTTTATATGGTGCTGAGGAATTGAACCCAGGGCTTCATGCAGGCTAGGCAAGCACTCTACCACTAAGCCACATTCCAGCCCTAAGTCTGCAAGATTCTTATCTCCAGTTAACCACCAAAGTCTGGAAGTAGAATCATCTCTCAAATGGTAGAGGTCAAGCCCTAGTACTGGCACAAAAAAGAAAAAGAACACTAATACTTTTTGACAAACATCTGACTGACACGTTACTATATTTATTTACAGTTGTTCAAAGTTCTCTTATAAAAATCTGTCTATAACTTTACTGCTGTGCTGCTGGGTTGTTGTAGTTATAAATAATCTTGGATTATCTAGCTTAAGGAATTTCATTTTTTTAATAGAGATGAACTCCCATTTAATTTTCTATTGAAAAGTCCCAGTATTGATGACAAAGAGAAAAAAAGCTGTTCTTTCTAGTGTTAATTGAAGAAGTCATACAATATCCCTATGTACATTCAGCATCATTCATTTTTTATCATTCATTTTTATAATGAGCTACTATTTAGGAAGTCCCTCTACCTTACCTCTTGGTTATAATAACTGAATAATGTAAGATGAGGAAATGATAATAAAAATACTAATAAGTGAAATTAACTTCCCAATATTGGGCCTATAGCTACTGAGGAAACAGGATCTGAGAATCGTGATTGGATGCCAGCGGGGACAGGAAAGTCCAAAAAACTCATATCTAATTAGCTACCAGAAAAACAGAGTGGAAGCCAGGTGCTGGTGGCTCATGCCTGTAATCCTAGCTTCTTAGGAAGCTGAGCTCTGAGGGTCGTGGTTCTAAGCCAGCCTGGGCAGGAAACAGTGATACTCTTATCTCTAATTAACTACCAGAAAATCAGAAGTGGTGCTGTGGTCACACACACACACACACACACACACACACACACACACGTAGAGTGATACTCTTATCTCTAATTAACTACCAGAAAATCAGAAGTGGTGCTGTGGTTCGAGACACACACACACACACACACACACAGAGTGATACTCTTATCTCTAATTAACTACCAGAAAATCAGAAGTGGTGCTGTGGTTCGAGACACACACACACACACACACACACACACAGACAGAGTGATACTCTTATCTCTAAATAACTACCAGAAAATCAGAAGTGGTGCTGTGGTTCAAGACACACACACACACACACACACACACAGAAGTAGAGTGATACTCTTAGAAGTGGTGCTGTGGTTTGACATACACACACACACACAGCTGTGGCTCAAGTGTAGAGCACCACGCACACACACAGCTGTGGCTCAAGTGTAGAGCACCAACCTTCAGCAAAAAAAAAAAAAAAAAAAGCCCAAGGACAGTGCCCAGGCCCTGAGTTTAAACTCCAAGACCAAAAAAAAAAACCCTTGCCAATAACAATCATTCTTCATTTCCCCACCAGTCTCCTTCCTCCACCTTCCCTCTTGACCCACCAATGTCCTTCCTATTGATTTGCCCCTGCTGGACATTTAATATAAATACAATTGTACAACATGCGGTCTTTTATTACTGGTTCCTTGCACTTAGATAATGTTTTCAAGATTTATCTGTATCAGATACTTCACTCCTTTTCAAAGCCAAATAGTCAGGGCTGGGAAGGTGGCTTAGTGGTAGAGCACTTGCCTTGCATGCATGAGGCCCTAGGTTCAATTCCTCAGCACCACATAAGCAAAAAGAAAAAAGCCGGAAGTGGCACTGTGGCTCAAGCGCTAGAGCGCTAGCCTTGAGCTGAAGAGCTGAGGGACAGTGCCCAGGCCCAGAGTTCAGGCCCCATGACCAGACCCCCCCAAAAAAAACAACAACAAACAATCAAAGCCAAATAGTGTTCCTTTGCATAATTACTCCACATTTTGCTTATCTGTAAGTAGATAGAGATTTGGATTCTTTCTTCTTTTGGGCTGTTATGAATATAGCTACTGTGAACATTTAGGTATAAATTTTTGTGTTGATAAAGGTTTTCAATTCTCTTAGCAGTTTCTATGGAACTCTTTTTACCCTTTTGAAGAATTGCCTTTTTTTTGTTGTTTTGATTTTTGCCAGTCCTGGGGCTTGAACTCTGCGCCTGGGAATTGTCCCTGAACAACTTTTTTTTTTTTGGTCTGGTCATGGGGTCTGAACTCTGGGCCTGAGTGCTGTCCCTCAGCTCTTCAGCTCAAGGCTAGTGCCCTACCACTTGAGCCACAGCGCCACTTCTGGCTTTTTTCTTTTTTTGCTTATGTGGTGCTGAGGAATTGAACCCAGGGCCTCAGGCATGCAAGGCAAATGCTCTACCACTGAGCCAACTTCCCAGCCCTGCCTGAACTTCTTTTGCTCAAAGTGAGTGCCCTATCATTTGAGCCACATCACTAATTCCAGCTTTTCTAAGTAGTTTATTGGAGTCTGTCCAAGTTTCCTGCTTGGACTAGCTTCAAACCATGATCCTCAGATCTCAGACTCCTGAGTAGCTAGGAATACAGGCATGAGCCACTGACACACGGCTTGCCATGGAGTTTTCTAAAGTGGCTTACTGCTCATTAATTAAATATTGTTATATGTCCTATTAGTAGAAGTTGTAGTAGTTGTGAAGTATTCTCATTTGATGATAATTTCCTGTTGACATCTTTTCACTTGCTTATTCATTTGCATACATTCTTTGAACTGTCTATTCATATCTTTTGCCCATTTTAATTAGGTTATTGGGCTATGCATGTTAGTGCTTTCCATTGTGCTTGGAAAGTTCCAGTTATTATTTGTGACTATTTTTCTGCTTCTTTCTTTTTTTTTTTTTTTTGCTTATGTGGTGCTGAGGAATCGAACCCAGGGCCTCATGCATGCAAGGCAAGCACTTTACCACTGAGCCACCTTCCCAGCCCCTCTGCTTCTTTCTTATTGTTTTAACTCCTGATATTTTCATTACCTGTATGTTGATGCACTTAATGGTGTCTTAACATTTCTGAGGCCCTGCTCATTTTCCTGTATTCTTGGTTTTCATCAGATTGCAGTCTATTAATCTATCTTGATGTTCTCTGCTTCTCTCTTCTGATATCAAATCAACTGTTGTTGCTCTAGTCTTTCCTTTATTGTACTTTTTAACTCTAGGATTTCTATTTGGTTTGTTACCTCTCCCTCCCCCTTCTCTGTATGTGTATTTGATAAGACATTGTCACCTTACATTCTGTTTTTTAAACAAATTCTTTGAATATATTTGTACTGGCATCTTTGTAGTATTTGTTAAATCCAATATCTGAGTCCATTACAGGCAGTAGGAAAATCATATCTTCCTATTTTTTTTTTTTTTGGTCCGGTCGTGGGGCCTGAGCTCTGGGCCTGGGCGCTGTCCCTCAGCTCTTCAGCTCAAGGCTAGCGCTCTACCACTTGAGC